CCATCCAAAACGGTGATTGCATCACCGCTGTTGTGCAAAACTGTGATCACATCATCGTCGTCGACCAAAACGGTGATATTTGACCACGTTTTAGAGCCCTGGTAGGTGGAAAATTAGGTCACAACGACCTAGCTATCACCGTTTTGGACAAAAGCGATGATGTGTTCACCGAAATTGTCCACTGCGGTGATTAGCTGGCACATTTCCTTATAAAAACAGACCCTCACGTCTCTTCTGCTGCCTTACAGCAAAGTAGTACAAAAATTAGTGTTTTTTGGTTGTTTTCTCTTCTGGTTTGGAGTTGGTTTACAGCAACAAGAAACTCATCGGGATTCGGTATGTTATAATTATGTATTGTTTACATGTTGATGTATTAGTAATTATATGTCTGTATTTAGTGAATTGCGGTTATTGGCAAATATGTTATGAGATATTTAGATTAATTATGATATGATAGATGTTAGTTAGTTAGTTATGAATTTAGATGAATTTGTTTAGTTTTCTCATGATAGATCAATTAGTTGCGTTTATTTATGGGTTTGGATGATATTGTTTTTGTATCCCTAATGTACTAATTATATAATATACTTAATTATTATAAATTCCAGACATGGGTAAATTTAAGAAGTTTCGGCTTATTATTCGGTGGAATGGTCGGGTGACAAACTCGAACATTGGGATCGACTATGAAAATGGCGAATCCACTATGCTAAAAATTGAGTCGAGATTCTCGTGGCAAGAACTCCTTAACATTTGTGCAGAAAGGACTTGTACGGGCGGGCAAAGGAGAGTTGGTCAAATTGCTTACCGGTATCCAAACATGAGTGCTGACGGAATCATGTACGAAAAAGTTGTCATAAATGATGATGACGCGGTGAACATGAGGATACAGTTCTTATCTGACAATGGAGTGCGGCTTGCAAGGGTGTATGTCGAGACCGAGCCGGTCGGTGGAAACTCATTCTCACCAGTATTCTTGTGATGATGGTTTTACAGGAGGGTATGGCTGGGGTGGTATTTCAAGTAACTACGGAGGAGGTACTTCTGCAGGAGGGTATGGCTGGGGTGTACTTCAAGAAACTACGGAGGAGGTAGTTCTGAAGGAGGTGTTGGGTGGGAAGAATACCCGCAACATGCTGAGACTAGCGTCGATATCGTTTAGCCCGACGGTGATCAATGGCCTGCTTGGGGTCCAGAGTGGGCTGACATTGAGAACACCCTTCGATCTGGGCGTACTTCGCATGACCAAGAAGACAATGTTGGTTATGCTGGTAACGATGACCATCCTGAGCCGAGCTATCCATTCGCCTCCAGTGACGATGAAAGTGAGGAAGATTTGAGATCAGTTAGTGAGGAGGAAGATAAGGACGATATCAACGATATCGATGACAGAGAGGTGGCGTTCCGTCAAGCACCAACGCCTTACTACACAGAGGTTCCTGATCAATTTTTATAATGGTCAGAACGATGCCCCTGACTTTCGGCCCATGCCTGTGTATAATCCGACTGCTAATTTGGAAGTGGGTATGGCGTTCACTTCGAAAGCCGATGTGCAATATGCTTTTAGCGAAGAAGCCATGCGGCGTAACTTCGAATGGAAGGTAAAATATTCTGACACCAAACAACTGCATGTCATTTGTAAGAATGCTAGAGAGGGTTGTATGTGGCAACTTCGGGCTGCATATATGAAGAGAAAGGGCATCTGGGTCATGCGGACAGTAGAGAACAACCATAGTAGAGAAAGAGCATCTGGGTCATGCGGACATTGAGAACACCCTTCGAAAAATGGAAGATGCTCCCATGCCTAGAGCTGGAGCATGAACATCGCACCACCAACTTGTTTCGCTCCCAACCTCGAGCAAGTACACAATTCTCGGTAGATCCCAGCCAAGACGGCCGACCCCCAACTTTTTTCCCCGATCTCGTCCCAGTCACCGAGGAGCATCGGTAACCACATGCCTTGTATCCACCGGTTTGCATTGTCGGGGAACAGAACCCCACCAACCAAGTCAATTAGGTAGACACGTGCATACCGCTCCACCTGATCTTCAGGAGCGTCCGGGCCTATATTAACCTCCAACTGGATGTGTTCAACAAGCCACGAGATCTATACTTGCCCCGCATTCAGTGGTGGATGCCCAACCCCTTCGACGGGCGTGGTGGTCGGCATGTTGAACCCCAAACGCTATTGAATCAACGACCCCCAACCATCTTCCGGTTTTCTCGAGTTGTCGATGATGGCATCTCCGGTGATCGGGAGCCCGGTGAGGATGGAAACATCTTTGAGGGTGATCGTCATTTCACCCTCGGGAAAGTGGAAGGTATTCAGCTCGGGGCGCCATCGCTCTGCCATTGCCGTCAGCAGATCGTTGTCAATATCAAGCCTCATGAAGTGCCACAGCATGTGCAATCACGTCCTCTCTAGATAGGGCGCCGGTCGAGCATGCCAACGGGGCAATCAACATGTCCCTCGATGACTGATGGGAATAAGTGATTCCTACAAAACAAAAAAAACAATGTTGTCAGTCAATAGAAAGCAAAATAAAAACTTTTAAACTAATGAAATAATTTTAGTGTCTACCGGATTATTGTTCCAAATTGCACGGGAGCGATGTTGATCTTGTCCGGTTAAATACCTTCGATCCCTTGGGCCAGGATCGATATACAATCGAGGGTCGTATATCTCAGCCCCCATCTATAAAAAAATAAGAAATCAAATCAATTTATATTTCAGCACCCATTTAAAAAAAAATCACAAAATAAAAAAAAATTACGTACTCTGAGAGCCTCTTCATCCATTTATGCCGAAAAGCTAGAGAGAATATCGACAAAACAAAAACTCTAGTAATTTTTTCTGATGTGGAAGATCGGACTTAGCCGCAACCACAGAGCATACTTAGAACGAAACTAGAGTGAAGTAATGGAGGGAGAAATAAGTATAAAATGGTGGTGTGGGCGCTGGAAAAGTTGGAGCATTAATCACCGCGTCCAACAAAAGCGGTGAAGTCACCGCCTTGAAGAAACACGGTGATGGCTTCGGATCGGTGACGTGGCGCCATGTGAGGCGTCGGATCGTGGAGAAAAACCACAATCCGTGCCTCACCGCATCCAACGGTAACGGTGAAGGCGCGGGTGGCCCGGATCGCTGACTTGGAAAGCGGGGCTATCACCGCTTTTGTCATTAACGGTGAAGTGCGCCCGCGCGTGTCCACGTCTGCGATCCGCGCCACTTCACCGTCTTTGACATCAACGGTCAAGATTCCTTCACCGCTTCCCTTATCAACGGTCATAAGATCCCCGTTGTTGACGAAAGCAGGGATTGTTTCCCCGATTTTCTCCTCAGCGGGGATTGCATCACTGCTTTAGTCAAAAGCGGTGATGTTATCACCGTTTTAGACTGTAACGGGGAATATAATCACTGTCTTTGTCTTCGACAGTGATGTTGAAACTGCTGTACTTTGGAAAATAATTTTATAAGTACTGTATTTAGGAAATTTTTTTAATAATTAGAGTATTCTGGAATTTTTTGCAAAATATTGTGGATTGATAAGATTCTCATTTTGCGTTGTTATTGATCAGCAGTCTGTGGATTGTAAATGACACTGTATTCATATAAACATAATGTTCAGAATGTCTGGCTCCTTTCATTTTAACCGCTTCCTTTCAATATTGAAGTTCCTGTGGATTTGGCACTAAACCCACGATGAAATTTATGAGAAAGAAAATGTGAAGAGATGGCTGTGTAATAGTGATGCCGATCATCGTGTTAATTGTTAGCTTGTGGAACTATTATTGTTGCTTAACTTAGAATGCTAGTCCTCATGGAGACAGAGTACACTTCTACAGTTCTACTGGCATTGCTCATAATAAAGTAGGAATAGTGGAATACTCTCTCCTGCAATATCATTAGTTTCCAAAGCTCGCACAGGCAGGCACAATCCTTTTTGATTTGAATCTGATACCTGAACCTCCATTTGTTTGTGTTACTCGATGCTGGCAAAACTTGCAAGTGCTATGAACAAACCTGCACAACAGAGCAGACTATTGTTGCTTCTCATATGTAGATGGGATGCTCTATTCAGAGTTGAACCTGAGAATTTATTTTATTGTAGGAAACAACTCGATGGAAAACTTGGGACTTCATTAAAAAGTGATCTAGGAGTGAACATTGTGGAGATCTGTTGCAGTTTTCCGAGGAGATGCTACAAGATCTCTATCCACGTACACGACCCACCAAAGGCAGCTGCAAAAGATGGCTGCTGCTTCTGAAGAACACGGAACTGCAGAAATCCAGGAAATAAATTATTGGGGATTCAAGAAACACGATTTCTTCCCTGAAGAGTTCTTCAGCAGCTGGGGCAGCTAACAGGCCTGGTCATAGACATGCCAGCAGGTCAAGGATCGTCTCATATTCCAGCCCCACAATGCCAATGAGGTGGAACTTCTCAGGAAGCATGGCGAGAACGAGATGAAACGTTGCCTCACCTGGTTTGGGTTCGGTTCAGTTATGGAGCTGGCATTTACGTGCTGACGGGAGCGGAAGCTCGTGATCATGCTGGACCTGCCATCGTCTTGTCCTAAGTGGCTTCTGGACTCTCGCCCATGCTATGTCTCTTCTGCTACACGGAATTCACAGTGGGAATCCGTGGCAGAGGTCCATTTGCTTACTTGAGAATTGAGCTGGGAGACTTGGCTGCATTCATCATTGCAGGAAACATACTGCTCGAGGGAGTGGTGGCGACTGCAGCGATGACCAGAGCATGGACTTCATATCTTGCCACTCTTCTCAATCGTCCATCCAACTCCCTCCACATCCCTACCAATCTAACCAAATGTCATAGTTAACAACTAATATTATAGCAATAAGGCAGCACCCACAAACTGGAAAAGGAATGAGATCATATGATAATGTTAAGTTTCTGCATGCGAAACTTAAACTGGTCCTGAATAAGGCATAAGCATCATTGATATTTCAATAGCAGTAAGAAAATGTACTCAATTCTAAGATTTCGTCTTTACTGAACCTACTTCTTCGCTCGGTTTCCACTCTGAGCACATCAACAGAAATGAGATATGATCAACACCTACACAAACAAAATACAGGAGGAGAAGATAACTATCATCATAGGATTCAAAGCAATGATACAAAGACCACCAAGCCTCACTAACTTGGTCAGTGTATCAGCAAAGAGGAAAAGATTCAAACAAAATTTCCTGCCAGCTGCATACATCGAAAAGACAATCAAGAAACTGATGGAGATTTGCAATCTTGAGATATGCTCATGACTGAGAGATTTCATAACATACACCATTCCATGACCGATAACATTAGACATTTTGCATAACCACAAAGCTGAAGAACAGACTAGAATTCAATGAAGTATAACACCATGCAGAAAGGTCCAAGGATACGAAGAAATATTAGCATGCTCACCAATTTCACGAGAAAGCATCCTGAGCCATGTTCATCATAATCTGCATCATGAACTGTTTTCAAACTTCCACTTGAACCATGAGACCAACAGAAGTATGGGCCATTATGAGGAAGGAGGATTTTTCAATGCACAACTTTTAGGAAAGCTGTGATCTCTCTCAGCTGTTCTATCATCTGCATGATTATGCACATCATTCAGCATAGGGCTTTTAAGGATCCATGTGGTTGTTCTACCCATATACATTGTTCCGGCACCTTTCAATCGCTACCTGTACTTTTTTTGGTCTACAAAATTCCTGAACAGCTATTCCCCATGTAGAGGCCTTTGGCAACAAAAACTTTTGCAGCATGACTCCCAGAATTTGGGAAGCCCCTAAGGTACTTTGTCGCTTAAATAACCGAACCACGAGTTCATCTAAGAACTCTGTTCCATCTTGAGGTGGATCTATCTTCTCTCCCAATGCTCTCAAGAAAATGTTGCAGGTAACAACGTCAGGATCAACCCCCCGGTCCAACATTCTGTTCAAAAGATCAATAGCAGTAGACAAACTACTCCGATTGCACAAAGCATCAAAAAGTATATTGTAAGTGACAATATCTGGTTGAGAATTTGGTTCTTGGCAAAGCATCTCATTGTACAACTTTAGAGCATCTTCCAAAGAGCCAGAGCAGCAAAGGCCATGAATCATTGAACTATATGTGATGACATCAGGCTTACATCCTTTGTGCAACATCTGTGTCCACACAATCATTGCCTCTTCAATACTCCCAGTCTTGCATAGGCCATCAATCACTACACTATAGCAAATATCATTCTCAACACATTTTCCCTTTGCCATAGCTTTCCACACTTCAATGGCTTTATGGGATTTGCCTATCTCAAAGAACCCCTTCATCAAAGAGCTGTAAGTGAAGGCATTGGGCACAATACCCTTATTCTCCATTTCAGAAAGAATTTCTAAGGCTTCATCCGCCTTTCCATCTCTACACAAACCGTCTATGACAACACTATATACAACAGTGTTAAGTTTACATCCCTTTTCTATCATTCCCTTAAACAGCTTCATCCCGTCTTCAGGCTTGCCCTCTTTGAACAACCCACTGATCAAAGTTGAGTAAACATACTCATTCACACTATGCCCTCTGTGTTCCAATGAAACCAACACTTGAACCCCTTCAAGTGCCTTTCCTTGCTTAACCAGTCCATTAATTATTGTACCATAAGTGACCTCATTTGGGACACATTTACTAGAGACCATTCGATCCAAAAGACTTACTGCCTTATCCAACTTCCCTTTAAGACACAACCCATGAATAAGTGTGTTATAAGTCACCTCGCTAGGAACACACCCTTTAAAAAACATGTTGTCAACTAGCTTTCCCGTCCGTGCCAAATCTCCCTTCTTGCATAACCCATTAATCAACACATTGAAAGTGGGAGGATTAGGAAAACAGCCCTCAACTTGCATCTCATCTAATAGTGAAACCGCTTCATCAATTCTATCCTCCTTGCAAAGCCCATCCATCAGTGTGCAATAAGTGTACACATCTGGGTCACATTGCCTAACCGGCATATCCCTAAACACTTGGATCGCCTTATCGACCAGTCCAAGCTTACACAAAGCCTTGATGATCAAATTGAAAGACAACACATTAGGCGAGATGTTGACATGTTTTGAACTAACAACATGATCATAAAACTCCAGAGCCTGGCGGAAAAGACCCGCATGTATAACAACGTTCAGAACAGAGTTAAACGACTTCACAGTACGCTTACACTGAAATTCGTCCGCCATTCTATCAAATAACTCCAGGGCTTTCCCAGGGAAGCCAGCTTTCCCATAAGCCCTGAACACAAGAATGAAACTTTTTTCCAGAAACACCCTGTTTTCCCTCTTCATTCGACCCAGAACCTTCTCCAGCGACTCGAAATCGCAATTATTGGCGTAGGTCTCGATGAGCGAATAGAAAGAGGAGTCGCCCGACTGGTAGGAACCCATCTTGGCAGGGGACTTGAATATCTTGTCATGAATCGGAAGTTCGGTTTCGTTTCCATCTTGACGTTTTCCATTGCAGGCTTCATGGCGTCCGTCGTCCTTGTGGGAATTTGATTGAGTGGCGACTGAGAAGTGCAGCTGCAAAGCAAGGGAAGGGGACTTACAGGGCAGCAATTGATGGAATGCAGAGCTCGACCGACTGAGGAGTAATTTGGCGATGGTGACGGTAGTGCGGCGAGAGCATTTTGGCATAGGATTCAAATTGCAAAAATGGATATTGACCTTATTCCCTGCATCAACTGATGGCGGAATGGAAGAGAGGACGAGAATTGGTACGCAACTACTCTACAAACAACCTGGGCGCTGGGCGGTAAGGGTTTTACGCTTTACAAGCTTCCGTTAGGAGAGGAATTGAGAATCTCAATTCATTCCTTCCAGGGAAATGGGCTTATTGGGCCCTAATTCCGTTTTGCTTGACTCAGGAGTTGTTCAAGAGTCTGGACAAGGTTGGGCTTTATTAAAGTAAATATAGTTGGGCCTCTTTAAGTTTCCTAGGCCAGGCGATTTACAAAGGGCCAATACTACGGTGCCGCTATTAAAAGTGTGGCACCGGTAACGCAGGTTTTGATTGGGCCATGTGGAAGTGACGTGGTATAAACGGGATGGAATAAATCCACTTCAAACCCATTGATCCACGAAACTGGCCAAACCCGGCGGTAGACCAACCAGATGGAAAATCTCTCTGTCTCACTTGATTTTCACCGCATTTAACTTTCTCCATGAAAAAAAAAATTGCAAACCCAGAGTGCAACGTCGTCTTCCCTCTTCTCCCTCTCCGGCTTACTGTGAAAAAATAAAGTGTTTCGGCGAACTTGTCCGCCGCCGATGCAACCTCCTCCACAACCTCTCTGATTCACTTCCACTAAATTCCTTCACCGCCTCCGTTATCGAAATCTCTTTTTCCCCGAGGTATTATCTCTTTCTTTGTTATAAAGTTAGGTTTAGGCGAATTCGGCTTAGCTAAATCGATCATTTAATAGTAGAGTTCAATTCATGTTGAGGGTTATCCTTTGCTTATGGGTCGTTCTGTTATTGTGATGCAGGTCAGCTTTGCATTATTGCATTAGCTTGATTTCTCAAGTAATAGCCGAGGTTAACATGCAAACTGAGGATGGAAGTTCTCACTTGGATGCTCTCCAGCGTGTTTGATAAGAGCTGGCAATGCGTGTGGTTGCCGCAAATCTGCCATTTCTATACCAAGGAGCTTGTTTTTGCTGAGGCATTGGAGAGTGAGCGTGGGATTCTAAAGTCTCAGGTATGCAATAACTTGTTGTAGGATATGTGTGTGTGTTTCGGTGGATGTTTTGTCCACTTACCTGATTTCAAAATTCTATGTTCCATCAAGCAGAAAGTACAAGGAATAACAGATTGCCATATAAAAAATGGCTGAAGGCCGCAATAGAAAGCATATTGCAAGTACTCTTTACTCCTAGGCATAATGTTTTTTTGGATAACATGATGTACTTTAATGGTTTCGCCAAATCATAAGTAGTCTTCAGCTTTCCCTATTGGGTGGCGGATATGAACTAAACTATGAATTGTTTACGCTTCATTTACAGGCTCGACGCATCTGTAGATGAACCAGTGGCTCACGCTGGTTGATTAGAGTGCCCCATCATTATATTTTGTTAGGGGAAGAGGAAGACCGATTTCTCTTGTTATCTAATGTGTTAGTCTCATTTATTTACAGTCAGATGAACTTGCTGAGAACAGAAGCAAATGTGTACAATTTTCGATACAGTTAGCAAGAATTGAGAAAGAAAAAAACTCTTTCATTCGCATATATGAGTTTGCCTGAACTTGAGGATCATTAATTAAATAAATAGTTGTCTCTCTGAGTCTCATAGTCATAGACTTGACTTTGTGCTTAGTTGGTCACTCTGACACAACCTTTTCCTTCTATAATTGCCATCATCAATGGCCATTATATAAGCTGCCTGTTTTATAGTTATTGCTTCTCCATCTTGTCTAATGAGATGAGGCTGATATAATGAGAAAAAACTGTAAGCTAGGTTGTAAGTTAGATGATGTGTGCATGGTAGAAAACATATATTTATTTGCTATTTTCTTATGTAACGCTTTGTTATATTATCCATCTGAGTTCTATTTGTGACAAAACGAAAGAATTCTTCAAAACGGGGTAGAGCTGTTGTTCGATACTTAACCGTTGCTTAAGAGCTTGTTTATTAGTTGAGAGCTGAACATGATTAATTTGTTTTGGTGGCCATATTCTCATCGTTAAGCATTATCCTCTTTTCTTTTAAACTGTAGATTATAAAAACTTCAACAGTAAAGTTCACTACAAAGGCAGACTTAGCAGCTGCTGCAACAGACTCTGCATGTTGCCACAGGGATTCTGTCTTGGATTTGGCCTCTTTAAAGTTGAAACAAAGATTTATGATTTCAAGTGGTGGAGAACTGGAGATGGAGCTACCAACTGGTAGAGAATGTACAGTGTCAACAAAGAAGAGCAACTCCTTTAATAAAACTACTGATGGATATCTCAGATTGTGGGAGTGTGTTCAATAATCCTATTTCAAAAGCTGCAGTGATGTACTCAACTTTGAGCTTCAATACTTTTTCTATCTTCAAGTACATATTGTGTGACATTAATGAAAATGATTAATTCCAAGATCAAATCAGCATAACAAAGTTGGTAGTCGTTACTGATATTTTGTACAGCAGAAAAATCAGAAACTAGAGAAGGAACAACAGACATGAAGAACTGAGAAGCTTAACAACAAACAAACGTGCATCACTTCCAGCAAATCTACCAAGTGAATAACCTCGACAAATGCCATCTAATGACCAAATATTCAGTCTCGTGATCACTGATTTGAGGCGTCCAATTCCAAGTACAAAGCTCAATTAATCTACCAACTTGGAAAAGCATAAAAGAAACTCAAGCTAAAGGTTAACTTCCCTAGCTGTCACTATCCACTACACAAACATTCTCTAAATACCGTGTCCACGGTGTCAACATGTCATTTTGAGGGCCAGCTCGACAAGCTAAAGAGATTCTTTTGATCTTGCAAACAAAACTAACTTATTACTTCACTATAAATAAGTAAAATGTAATCCTGATACAATGTGTAGAGAAGCAAACCTTCCATTCGGGTTGGAGGTGTGTCAAGTTTCTCGTCTGGTCTTTATTTATTTCAAACAAGCAACAAGAGCGACATACCAGCACTTTCATGGGGATGACCACTAGTTAGATTTTGGGAAACTGTATCAACATTCTCAGAAAGTAAGTCATTCTGAGGATCATCTCCACGAGCTAAAGAGGTTTCGTGTGATCCTGTATAACAACAACAACAAAAAATACTTTTATGTTATAGAGACTTACATTGTAATTATTATTACCATGAGTTGTGAGCCAAACCTTCCATTTCAGCTGGGTAAATTTTGTTGCCTATCAATTGTAGTTGAAGCATCACGTATTTTACAACAAAATATATTACAACCTGCAGCATTAACAACCATTTGAATAATGCTTTCGACACAAGCAATGAATGCATTCTCATAGAAAAACAAGATTAACATAAGCATAAAAACAATTCAAAGTCCATGGCAATGACTGCATTCCCAGATAGCCATAACATTAGGCTTAATCAGAAAGAACAAGGAATCAAACCCATGAACCCCACACTCCATCAAAGTCCATGGCTTTTCAAACTTCTCTATCTTTATATTTCACATCTACAGATTCCCATGAAAAATGCAGCCCCACATGACTCCAGGTAACCAAAACCAACAACTATTGGCAGTGTAAAGAAGGCAAAAATGACCTCGACCAGGTTCTATGTAGTGTTTCTCAAGCCTCCAGTTCTCGAAACTGACATACACTCTATTTCAACTCCAAACTATCGTGTAACGAGGGAAAGCATGCCAAACATTCACTATAAAGTCCAAATTACGTATTATTAGTAATGCAAAGATGGGTTATTGGTAGTCCATGGTAGTCTGCAGTCCCCTATGGTACTCTGAATCTTCACTTAACAAAGCAACAACACTCTGCTGCTCATAATAAAGAAAGATCAATTGAGAATGGAATACCACCCAAACAATGCTCCCATTGCAGCATCGCTAGCTTAACATTTAAGAGGCACCAAAGAATTACAACCAATGCAGGAGAATAATGACGCGAATCATTGTCCTAGTTGCTGCACCTACTAACGTTGAATTACATGGAACGGGTGCAGTCGTTGTGGAGAGTCTATACGCCCCTCCAACGAAATTCGAATTCACTTTATTCTATTCCAATTTCCAACAGCCACCGCGGAGGCAAAGGGCGACAAAGTGATCTCCCACTTTGTCAGCCTCTTCAATGTCTAGAGATCTCCCACTCGAAATGTGAATGACAACAAAGTGAAATCGAAACGGTACTCGATTTTAGGACTTCCCACAATTGTTCCTCCTTGCAATGCAGATGGCGTACTCACCTCGAGAATCTAACTAACCGAAATAACTGAGCTCTTTTTAATGACGATAGTTGTTATTGGAAAGTTAAAATTAATTTTTTATTAGAGCATTCACGTTGAAATTGCATTTACAATACATCATGACATAGCATGCATTTGTAATTGTATTATGCAATTGCATTGATGCATTTTTTTTATTTGAAAGAGTAGTTAATTAAGAAACCGATCGGGCCAAACCCAATTGAAAAAGAACAAACAAAAAGTACAACCAGATCAGCAAACCAAACAAAAGTAAAAAAACATAAGTAGGCTGGCACCCAATAGGGCCCCAGACAAAAAAAATGTTATGGCTTCCTAATCCTAGCTGCTCATTTGTCCCCTCTAGGGCCTCCATCGTCGCCCCAAAAAACAACCATCGCCAACACCGTCGCTTCTACCTTTTCCCTTCTACCAGCACTCGCCGCCAATCTCCAACACAGATGATCCTTTTCGGCCAAACCCGAATGAAAGGACGAGGAAGAAAAATCTCCCACCATTCCACCCCGAGCAAAACCAGAGGACCACACCAGACGACTGGTCGTCGGTTGCATTAATGTAGATGACAATTGAATCTTTGCAAACTTGCATATAATGCAATTATGGGTTGAAAGCCACATCATCTTTTTTATTATTAAATTATTTATTATTTAAGTATTTTACGTTTATAGAACGGTATTAAAACAAATCTATTGCAATTGTAAAGTAATTGTGTTGATGTAGGTTAAGGAAAACAATGTGAGTTGGATTACAAAAATGTTAAGGTGGCACTAAAGAGCACAAATTCAATTGTTTTTGCAATTGAATTAATGCAAATTCTATAACAAGTCATCTCTTCAAATGTCAAACTTAAGTGTTGACTGTCATATAGAACAAAAATCACGGAAATAGAGTGAGAATGACCGATAATTAAACGAAAATACAAAATAATTAGTTATCACTAATGCAATTAAAAAAAATTAGTGATAAATATTAAACTAAATAGTAAACTCAATGAGCAAACATGTCATTTAGCCTAAAGGAAATTATAGAAATATGTACAAATACAATTAAGTACCTAATAATCTCAGTGGATTCAAGGGGATCTCAACGGGTCAAAACACCTAAATGGACACGTTCATCACATAAATACGGCAAGCAAAATCCGAAGTCCGTATCATAATTAGCCTAATCTTACAGTTTTAAACAAGGCAGTTGCCCAAGTTCTTTAAACCTCTCTCTCCCTCTGTCTCATCTATCAGGAATTAAAAAATCCTAGAGGTTTGGATGATACTGAACCCGAATGCAGGAGGGATCTAAGCTGCTCCATTTTGGACCGGAACTCACTATCCAAAGTTATGAACGATTTCTGCCGCCGGCGAAGGCAACACTGACCTGTTTGATGTCAGCTTCCAGGTTCTTCCTTCGCTGTGCTTCGCAGTTCAAGTCCTTCACCACGTTCTCCTTCTGGTTGGTTGCCAGATCAAGTTTCTCAGATAACTCAGAAACTCTATGGACAAGCGATTCCCTCTCTCGATTCAGAAGCTGGACATCTCTTTCCAAGCTGATGTATTTATCTCCAGAAACCTCCAGAAGCTTGTTCTTCTGTTCCAACTCTTTCTCCAACTCTTCATGTTTCACCTTGATTGCCTTAAGTTCACTCCCCATTTTCTTGTCATCGCTTGGAGCAGTTTGTCCAGTGGAAGTGCAGCATTCCTTGATTGACATTCAGAGTGAGTTTGGTAGACAAACCGTAAAATCATTACTGGGGGCGAAATGGGAAGCAAACATACCAAAGAGAAAAGCAGAAAATAGGACAAGTATTGATATGAGATATCTTGATGATGGTTGTGACCAAGCAGCTACCTTAGACTCCGATGTTGCCAGTGATGCAACTGTGACTTTTAACCCCTCCGACAGCATTTTTAACTGCTGATCAAGTGCAGAATCATCTACCCTTGGGAAGGGTTCAAAGTCATTATCCATTGCACGGGAGACCAGGCCTTCCAGATTTGATAAGAGGGTGATCCCAATTTCTCTGGTTCCAGAGAGCAATCTTGCTGTTGAAGTTTCTTCATCCCGTGCACAACTCTGTTCAGAACCATGGAAGGAGAAAGTGAGATTACTGATTTGATGTCTGCACAATGAAGGCTATAGGTCAGATTAAGGCTAAAACGGTCAACCTGTAATGTCGAATAAGCTTCTTCGTAGCTGCTGATTGAGCTTGCAATACATTGGAGAAAATTCCGAGGGATTTGGCTAATCAAGTCTACTCTCTGCTCAAGTTCTGATTTTTCCTGCATTAAACGGTCGGAGAGTAGCGATAGTTCTGAGTGCTTCTCCTGCAGTTATGAACATATAATCGTTATACATTATGGTTTTCTGAAATCAAACTCAAGTTGCATTGGATGAGAAAAATGTGAAAACTTGCCATGCGAACCTTGAGACCATTCTTCTCCTCAGTGATAAGTTGCAGTTCTCGTTTGAGATTTTGGACCTCTTGACTGTACTTCTCTGTAGAACGCCCCTGGAAAAGAGTACAAAATCGTAGATATCAGGCAACGATATACCAGTGTGTGCTTTAGCAAAGTCTTGATATCAAGTTCTAACACGCACTAAAGTTCCAATCTAAAGTTAGTAGTTTGAAACTAGGAGAACCACATATATGAACGTAAAAGCTAAGGTAGAGGAACAGTTTGCAAGCTTTATGAAGAAACCAGAATCATGTACTCACAGGAGTGACTTCATTTGACGGGAAGGACTGAGCTTTCCTTGCCGGGGTCATTTGAATGGAATCAAAGTCAACCGTGAAGCCGTTGTTTAATTTCATCCAGGTGTCTTCATCAGCCACGTTGCTCAAAGTTTCTGGAAGAGGACTGTAGTCATCGAGCCTCGCATAGTTGGATCTTTTTGAAACAAATGCATTAGGAGCAGCTTTAAAGCTTGGAGTTCCGAACAAATCTTCTTGGCAAGTGCTGCTGTTTTCACTGAATTCTCCTGGCAGTCTTGATAAACCAGCACGCTGAACCTATGAGTTTAAGAAATCAGTTGATGTGTAAAGCATTAATAACCCAGAAGTAACGGTATGTATCGTAACGTGTGTGGAGGCATGTTGGGAATATATACTCAAAAGTAATGTTGGACCTAGAACTCGATCCTAAACTGGGAGTGAATATTCTGATCACTAGTTACGACTCGATCAAGTATCAACCCTGGTCACTAGTTACCACTTGAACAGTTAGGTTAAAGTACTTGGAGGGAGGGAGCTACTCCAATAGCACCACGAACACTTAGCCAAAGAAATATCAGGAGACAAATAGCTAAATCATGGAGTTAAAACAATACAATGGACGAGACAAAATCAGCTGCAAAAATCCACTTTAAAAGACAGCGATACAAAACTCAAACCTTTCCTTGATTCATACCTGGCCAGAGCTCCTATCACAGTCTGAAGAGGTTGCCATACTGCTTAGGTTGTCGATTCTCATCTGCTGCTCCCTAATGCACTGTTCTCTCTCCTTTTGTGACTTCCTCTCCTCTTCGAGCTGCGTTGCAAGCTTCTCCCTTTCTAACTCGTACTGGGAATTGGAAACAGAAACAAGCATCAAAATGCAGGTGCTGGAACTTATGTTACTTTACGCATGTGTTCATGTGAATCATAACTGGAACCAACCTTCAGCATATCATTCCTCAATTTCAGAATTTCTTGCTCCAGCACTTCAGCATGAGACCCCTGACAGGAAATGTATGAATTGAATCCAATAGCTCCTTCTTGGACAATGTATAACAAACAAGAGAGGATCTTTACCTGAAGTTTCCTTCGGAGCTCTTCTATCTCTAACTTCTGTCGCTTCAGTAAGGTCGCATCAGTCAGAATCTAGGGAGAAAATGAACCTCAAGTTAGTCTCATTTTAGAGTCAAGTTGAAGGTTTAAGAAATCCGGTCCAAATCAGCAACAATCAGCAGGACAGGCAGCGTGAAAATGAATATTTTTCATCTGATGTCACTAGACAAGGAAACCATAAGTATTCATGATCAAGTCTGTGAAAACATACCTCATTCACTTGAGCACAATTCGTGATGCGTTTGGCTCGGCTAGCAAACAACAGAGTTCCTTTAGTTTCCTCAACGTGAATCTGACCAATGAAACAAGTCAAACTTCCTTTAGTTCCTAAAAACTATCTTTTTCCATTATAGAATTCAGGGGGGGAAAGCAGACAAAGGATTAAGTCTTTACTGAACCTACTTCTTCGCTCGGTTTCCACTCTGAGCACATCAACAGAAATGAGATATGATCAACACCTACACAAACAAAATACAGGAGGAGAAGATAACTATCATCATAGGATTCAAAGCAATGATACAAAGACCACCAAGCCTCACTAACTTGGTCAGTGTATCAGCAAAGAGGAAAAGATTCAAACAAAATTTCCTGCCAGCTGCATACATCGAAAAGACAATCAAGAAACTGATGGAGATTTGCAATCTTGAGATATGCTCATGACTGAGAGATTTCATAACATACACCATTCCATGACCGATAACATTAGACATTTTGCATAACCACAAAGCTGAAGAACAGACTAGAATTCAATGAAGTATAACACCATGCAGAAAGGTCCAAGGATACGAAGAAATATTAGCATGCTCACCAATTTCACGAGAAAGCATCCTGAGCCATGTTCATCATAATCTGCATCATGAACTGTTTTCAAACTTCCACTTGAACCATGAGACCAACAGAAGTATGGGCCATTATGAGGAAGGAGGATTTTTCAATGCACAACTTTTAGGAAAGCTGTGATCTCTCTCAGCTGTTCTATCATCTGCATGATTATGCACATCATTCAGCATAGGGCTTTTAAGGATCCATGTGGTTGTTCTACCCATATACATTGTTCCGGCACCTTTCAATCGCTACCTGTACTTTTTTTGGTCTACAAAATTCCTGAACAGCTATTCCCCATGTAGAGGCCTTTGGCAACAAAAACTTTTGCAGCATGACTCCCAGAATTTGGGAAGCCCCTAAGGTACTTTGTCGCTTAAATAACCGAACCACGAGTTCATCTAAGAACTCTGTTCCATCTTGAGGTGGATCTATCTTCTCTCCCAATGCTCTCAAGAAAATGTTGCAGGTAACAACGTCAGGATCAACCCCCCGGTCCAACATTCTGTTCAAAAGATCAATAGCAGTAGACAAACTACTCCGATTGCACAAAGCATCAAAAAGTATATTGTAAGTGACAATATCTGGTTGAGAATTTGGTTCTTGGCAAAGCATCTCATTGTACAACTTTAGAGCATCTTCCAAAGAGCCAGAGCAGCAAAGGCCATGAATCATTGAACTATATGTGATGACATCAGGCTTACATCCTTTGTGCAACATCTGTGTCCACACAATCATTGCCTCTTCAATACTCCCAGTCTTGCATAGGCCATCAATCACTACACTATAGCAAATATCATTCTCAACACATTTTCCCTTTGCCATAGCTTTCCACACTTCAATGGCTTTATGGGATTTGCCTATCTCAAAGAACCCCTTCATCAAAGAGCTGTAAGTGAAGGCATTGGGCACAATACCCTTATTCTCCATTTCAGAAAGAATTTCTAAGGCTTCATCCGCCTTTCCATCTCTACACAAACCGTCTATGACAACACTATATACAACAGTGTTAAGTTTACATCCCTTTTCTATCATTCCCTTAAACAGCTTCATCCCGTCTTCAGGCTTGCCCTCTTTGAACAACCCACTGATCAAAGTTGAGTAAACATACTCATTCACACTATGCCCTCTGTGTTCCAATGAAACCAACACTTGAACCCCTTCAAGTGCCTTTCCTTGCTTAACCAGTCCATTAATTATTGTACCATAAGTGACCTCATTTGGGACACATTTACTAGAGACCATTCGATCCAAAAGACTTACTGCCTTATCCAACTTCCCTTTAAGACACAACCCATGAATAAGTGTGTTATAAGTCACCTCGCTAGGAACACACCCTTTAAAAAACATGTTGTCAACTAGCTTTCCCGCCCGTGCCAAATCTCCCTTCTTGCATAACCCATTAATCAACACATTGAAAGTGGGAGGATTAGGAAAACAGCCCTCAACTTGCATCTCATCTAATAGTGAAACCGCTTCATCAATTCTATCCTCCTTGCAAAGCCCATCCATCAGTGTGCAATAAGTGTACACATCTGGGTCACATTGCCTAACCGGCATATCCCTAAACACTTGGATCGCCTTATCGACCAGTCCAAGCTTACACAAAGCCTTGATGATCAAATTGAAAGACAACACATTAGGCGAGATGTTGACATGTTTTGAACTAACAACATGATCATAAAACTCCAGAGCCTGGCGGAAAAGACCCGCATGTATAACAACGTTCAGAACAGAGTTAAACGACTTCACAGTACGCTTACACTGAAATTCGTCTGCCATTCTATCAAATAACTCCAGGGCTTTCCCAGGGAAGCCAGCTTTCCCATAAGCCCTGAACACAAGAATGAAACTTTTTTCCAGAAACACCCTGTTTTCCCTCTTCATTCGACCCAGAACCTTCTCCAGCGACTCGAAATCGCAATTATTGGCGTAGGTCTCGATGAGCGAATAGAAAGAGGAGTCGCCCGACTGGTAGGAACCCATCTTGGCAGGGGACTTGAATATCTTGTCATGAATCGGAAGTTCGGTTTCGTTTCCATCTTGACGTTTTCCATTGCAGGCTTCATGGCGTCCGTCGTCCTTGTGGGAATTTGATTGAGTGGCGACTGAGAAGTGCAGCTGCAAAGCAAGGGAAGGGGACTTACAGGGCAGCAATTGATGGAATGCAGAGCTCGACCGACTGAGGAGTAATTTGGCGATGGTGACGGTAGTGCGGCGAGAGCATTTTGGCATAGGATTCAAATTGCAAAAATGGATATTGACCTTATTCCCTGCATCAACCATGGATTACGAAACCGTACCGGACATCAAACCGGAATCGTTTTTGGCATGGTAAATCGTGGTACAACCATGGTTCAACCGTTTCCTACCGGTAAATACCGTTTTTGGAATAAAAAAATTATTTTTCTGTTAAAAAACCGTACCGATAAAATTAGGGTACCATACCGGGAAAATACCGGAATAATACCGGATTATACCGCCTAAGAAACTGTAAAAGAGTAAATAAGCGGGAACATTCAACAAAGTGGCATGTAAAACCTAAACGAGTATTGGTTTTGGGCATTCATTATCAAATAATTCTAGCCAAGATGGTGAAGGAGATCCTCATATGGAAGTTCAACTCTTACATGAAAGCTCAACTACGGAACATGATTAAAACACCAATTTATGCTATAAGGCACCCAATTGCAACCAAGACTCCGCGATTTAAGATCAACTAATCTATTGAGCCAGTAAATCATGAATACTGGAAACAAACATCACAACAGAACATGGAATCAGAGCAAGGAAATGGACAAGGCAATCAAACTACCACCAAGGAGAAGGGAATTCGAATTCTGAAAATCTTCCCAACGAATACCCAGCAATTGAAGCGATTTTAGTATGGTGCATGAGAGGAAAAGGAAAGGGGGAAGAGCAGAAGTAAACTCCACCTTAAGACGATGGTGATCCCGCTGACAGGGTTGTCCCACTGGCGGCACAAGAACGCAGGGTAGGAAATCCTTATCTCTTCCCTTGGCACGACGTCGACGGCGGAGACAACGAAGCTGGTACAGCTACACCACCACCGCCACTAGGGATTTGGAGCCGCGGGAGACGGAAGGAGGAAGAAACCAGCCAGTGAACGACCAACGAAGCTCCTCTTTCTCCTCCGGCGCGGCGCGGCGCGGCTGTGAACGACCAACGAAGCTCCTCTTTCTCGGTTTCTCCTCCGGCGCGGCGCGGCTGTGAACGACGATGCCTTCGATTGCTGGGGAGGACGAGTTGCCGATGGTGTTTGGTTGCTGGGGAGGACGCGGTCGCCGGTGGTGTTGATCGCCGGTTGCTGGGGAGGCAGAGCGGCGCGGCGCGGGGAGACTAGAGGCAGAGCGGCGCTGCTGGGAGAGGGAGACGAGAGGCAGAGAGGGCGTTAGCAGGGCCAGCCAAAGGAAGGTAGGGTTTTTGCGTCTCTGCTTCCCTTGCCTTCCGTTTTTTTTTTTTCATTAAAACGGCGCCGTTTGTGTAAAATGAAGGGACCGCTGGGTTTTTTTAAACCGGCCGAAATTTCGGCCCATTGCGGTCCAACCGTAAATACCGCCCGGCAGGTTATTGAAGGGTACAAAGCTCTATTGTGCCGGTTTACCTCCGGTTTCCGGTTTTTCCGGTTCGACCGGCCGGTCCGGTACGGTATCCTGGTCCTTGGCATCAACTGATGGCGGAATGGAAGAGAGGACGAGAATTGGTACGCAACTACTCTACAAACAACCTGGGCGCTGGGCGGTAAGGGTTTTACGCTTTACAAGCTTCCGTTAGGAGAGGAATTGAGAATCTCAATTCATTCCTTCCAGGGAAATGGGCTTATTGGGCCCTAATTCCGTTTTGCTTGACTCAGGAGTTGTTCAAGAGTCTGGACAAGGTTGGGCTTTATTAAAGTAAATATAGTTGGGCCTCTTTAAGTTTCCTAGGCCAGGCGATTTACAAAGGGCCAATACTACGGTGCCGCTATTAAAAGTGTGGCACCGGTAACGCAGGTTTTGATTGGGCCATGTGGAAGTGACGTGGTATAAACGGGATGGAATAAATCCACTTCAAACCCATTGATCCACGAAACTGGCCAAACCCGGCGGTAGACCAACCAGATGGAAAATCTCTCTGTCTCACTTGATTTTCACCGCATTTAACTTTCTCCATGAAAAAAAAAATTGCAAACCCAGAGTGCAACGTCGTCTTCCCTCTTCTCCCTCTCCGGCTTACTGTGAAAAAATAAAGTGTTTCGGCGAACTTGTCCGCCGCCGATGCAACCTCCTCCACAACCTCTCTGATTCACTTCCACTAAATTCCTTCACCGCCTCCGTTATCGAAATCTCTTTTTCCCCGAGGTATTATCTCTTTCTTTGTTATAAAGTTAGGTTTAGGCGAATTCGGCTTAGCTAAATCGATCATTTAATAGTAGAGTTCAATTCATGTTGAGGGTTATCCTTTGCTTATGGGTCGTTCTGTTATTGTGATGCAGGTCAGCTTTGCATTATTGCATTAGCTTGATTTCTCAAGTAATAGCCGAGGTTAACATGCAAACTGAGGATGGAAGTTCTCACTTGGATGCTCTCCAGCGTGTTTGATAAGAGCTGGCAATGCGTGTGGTTGCCGCAAATCTGCCATTTCTATACCAAGGAGCTTGTTTTTGCTGAGGCATTGGAGAGTGAGCGTGGGATTCTAAAGTCTCAGGTATGCAATAACTTGTTGTAGGATATGTGTGTGTGTTTCGGTGGATGTTTTGTCCACTTACCTGATTTCAAAATTCTATGTTCCATCAAGCAGAAAGTACAAGGAATAACAGATTGCCATATAAAAAATGGCTGAAGGCCGCAATAGAAAGCATATTGCAAGTACTCTTTACTCCTAGGCATAATGTTTTTTTGGATAACATGATGTACTTTAATGGTTTCGCCAAATCATAAGTAGTCTTCAGCTTTCCCTATTGGGTGGCGGATATGAACTAAACTATGAATTGTTTACGCTTCATTTACAGGCTCGATGCATCTGTAGATGAACCAGTGGCTCACGCTGGTTGATTAGAGTGCCCCATCATTATATTTTGTTAGGGGAAGAGGAAGACCGATTTCTCTTGTTATCTAATGTGTTAGTCTCATTTATTTACAGTCAGATGAACTTGCTGAGAACAGAAGCAAATGTGTACAATTTTCGATACAGTTAGCAAGAATTGAGAAAGAAAAAAACTCTTTCATTCGCATATATGAGTTTGCCTGAACTTGAGGATCATTAATTAAATAAATAGTTGTCTCTCTGAGTCTCATAGTCATAGACTTGACTTTGTGCTTAGTTGGTCACTCTGACACAACCTTTTCCTTCTATAATTGCCATCATCAATGGCCATTATATAAGCTGCCTGTTTTATAGTTATTGCTTCTCCATCTTGTCTAATGAGATGAGGCTGATATAATGAGAAAAAACTGTAAGCTAGGTTGTAAGTTAGATGATGTGTGCATGGTAGAAAACATATATTTATTTGCTATTTTCTTATGTAACGCTTTGTTATATTATCCATCTGAGTTCTATTTGTGACAAAACGAAAGAATTCTTCAAAACGGGGTAGAGCTGTTGTTCGATACTTAACCGTTGCTTAAGAGCTTGTTTATTAGTTGAGAGCTGAACATGATTAATTTGTTTTGGTGGCCATATTCTCATCGTTAAGCATTATCCTCTTTTCTTTTAAACTGTAGATTATAAAAACTTCAACAGTAAAGTTCACTACAAAGGCAGACTTAGCAGCTGCTGCAACAGACTCTGCATGTTGCCACAGGGATTCTGTCTTGGATTTGGCCTCTTTAAAGTTGAAACAAAGATTTATGATTTCAAGTGGTGGAGAACTGGAGATGGAGCTACCAACTGGTAGAGAATGTACAGTGTCAACAAAGAAGAGCAACTCCTTTAATAAAACTACTGATGGATATCTCAGATTGTGGGAGTGTGTTCAATAATCCTATTTCAAAAGCTGCAGTGATGTACTCAACTTTGAGCTTCAATACTTTTTCTATCTTCAAGTACATATTGTGTGACATTAATGAAAATGATTAATTCCAAGATCAAATCAGCATAACAAAGTTGGTAGTCGTTACTGATATTTTGTACAACAGAAAAATCAGAAACTAGAGAAGGAACAACAGACATGAAGAACTGAGAAGCTTAACAACAAACAAACGTGCATCACTTCCAGCAAATCTACCAAGTGAATAACCTCGACAAATGCCATCTAATGACCAAATATTCAGTCTCGTGATCACTGATTTGAGGCGTCCAATTCCAAGTACAAAGCTCAATTAATCTACCAACTTGGAAAAGCATAAAAGAAACTCAAGCTAAAGGTTAACTTCCCTAGCTGTCACTATCCACTACACAAACATTCTCTAAATACCGTGTCCACGGTGTCAACATGTCATTTTGAGGGCCAGCTCGACAAGCTAAAGAGATTCTTTTGATCTTGCAAACAAAACTAACTTATTACTTCACTATAAATAAGTAAAATGTAATCCTGATACAATGTGTAGAGAAGCAAACCTTCCATTCGGGTTGGAGGTGTGTCAAGTTTCTCGTCTGGTCTTTATTTATTTCAAACAAGCAACAAGAGCGACATACCAGCACTTTCATGGGGATGACCACTAGTTAGATTTTGGGAAACTGTATCAACATTCTCAGAAAGTAAGTCATTCTGAGGATCATCTCCACGAGCTAAAGAGGTTTCGTGTGATCCTGTATAACAACAACAACAAAAAATACTTTTATGTTATAGAGACTTACATTGTAATTATTATTACCATGAGTTGTGAGCCAAACCTTCCATTTCAGCTGGGTAAATTTTGTTGCCTATCAATTGTAGTTGAAGCATCACGTATTTTACAACAAAATATATTACAACCTGCAGCATTAACAACCATTTGAATAATGCTTTCGACACAAGCAATGAATGCATTCTCATAGAAAAACAAGATTAACATAAGCATAAAAACAATTCAAAGTCCATGGCAATGACTGCATTCCCAGATAGCCATAACATTAGGCTTAATCAGAAAGAACAAGGAATCAAACCCGTGAACCCCACACTCCATCAAAGTCCATGGCTTTTCAAACTTCTCTATCTTTATATTTCACATCTACAGATTCCCATGAAAAATGCAGCCCCACATGACTCCAGGTAACCAAAACCAACAACTATTGGTAGTGTAAAGAAGGCAAAAATGACCTCGACCAGGTTCTATGTAGTGTTTCTCAAGCCTCCAGTTCTCGAAACTGACATACACTCTATTTCAACTCCAAACTATCGTGTAACGAGGGAAAGCATGCCAAACATTCACTATAAAGTCCAAATTACGTATTATTAGTAATGCAAAGATGGGTTATTGGTAGTCCATGGTAGTCTGCAGTCCCCTATGGTACTCTGAATCTTCACTTAACAAAGCAACAACACTCTGCTGC